AATCTGCCCTCCGCCACCCCACTTCATCTATCTGGAGGGTGCTGCAAGATGCTACCTGGCTGCCATGGGCACATGTGTGCACACATGCACGTGGCACCCCTTCCTTATTGCCCCCCTCCCACTTCCCCCAGCCCCAAGCAGCCCCTTGTAGGCTCAAAGTCTGCCAGCCTGCACAGGGAAACCCACCATGCCTGCTTTTTTCTGTGATTTTCATCATAACCAGTTGTCACTGTTGAGTGTCTTTGTGACCCCATTTTTTAGTGTTGCAACCCCAATTGAGGTCATGACCCTAAGGTTGGGAACCACTGCCTTAAGCCAAGATCCAGCAAATGACCCTCTGGCTAAATCCTAAACACTTCGAATGTGAACTTTCACCCCTTGCTCACACCCACGCATTGACATTTTACCTTTCCTACCTCTTCCCTTCAGTCTAATAAGAGTCTGGGGCATAGCTGGCCAGGACAATGCCACCGCTCTAGCATAATTGTTGGCCTGTGGCCAGAAAGCCTTGGTAAACATGAGCAAGAGCACCTGCATGCAGCGGGGAGAGGTTGGGGACTTGATGGTCCTGAGCCCTCTAATGGCAATCCATAGCTCTGCAAGTGGGGGGATAAAATCCTCAGGGTAGACTTGGACCCAGAGCTGATGGGTCAGAAGGCTTATGACAAGACTGAGGCTACAGTCAAGCAGAGATTAGGGCTGTGCAGTTCATGCCACCTGTCAATGGGAGGGTGCATGGCTCACGAGGGTGGTGCTGCTACCAGTGCTTCTGTACACCACACTGGTCTTCATACTGGTCCTCATGGCAGACTGTCTGCAGGATCCAAAGGGATGTGTATCTTCTTCTAGGGCTCGAGCTTGGCAAAGCCAGCTAGAACCGCCCAGTACAAAGCTAAACTGACCGAGGGCTGGGGGTTTCCAGATGTACTGCTGTTTCTCTGGGCAAAGTAATGAGCCAGGTTCTATAAGCTGGCAGTAACAGAAGGGTTCAAGGTGACATGCTTTATCTGGTATTTTGATGGCGGCCTACTGCAGCGTGGCAGGTGTACACAGTGCCCAGAACACACTTATGGGATCCTACCAGATCCTAAAGCAGCTCCACAACCCCTACGAGCTGAAAGACAAAGCCCAGAAACCCTGATGAACTACTGCAAGATGCAAGTAGTAGTGGGGGTGAGAGACAGACTGTTGCTGGTGAGCGTGTTCCTCAGTGGGCACATCTCTACATGCATTAATGTGCCATAATTATTATGGCGAATTAAGTTTAGGACCTGTAACAACAGATACTAAATTAATGCACCATAATTGGTGCTACTGCAGTAGCGCTGGTGCATGTCTTTTGGGTGATGCAGAGGAAGACAAATGGGAGAGAAAAAGAGGCAGCAGAAACCTGGAACAGGAAACATGGCACATGGTTTTTCATGCCACGAACACAGCCCAATGATTTTATCTGTGATTGTGTCCTGTTATTCCAGCACCATCTGAGCCTGTTGCTACAGTAATTGAGCGACAACACCAGAAGCTTTGAGGGCCCCAGTCAGTTCCTTTATTTGAAGTGCATCGAGACGTTTGAACTCTGATTTCTCATGGCTCTGGCTATTGTCTTGTTTAGCCGCTTAAACCAAGGCCGTGTGGGTGTGAGACTCCCACTGCCTGATCTAGTGATGTCTACCTGCTGTTTGCAGTGGTTTAAACACCAGCACAGAGGGAATCAGTCCCCTCATCTCAAGCTTATGCTTATTTTACAATCTTTTTTCACCAGAAGTTTGAGCTAAACCTTCATCATCATCCACTAGATTTGGAGAGCTTAGGGCCCAGGCCTATACAGGAAGAGCTTCACAGATTAGATCCCTGGACTAAGGAAGGGGTACACAGATAAGGGACTGATTTTCAGGGAGCAAAATCTGGGACAAAAATGCTACGCAGGTTCTGGAACCAGAAGCAGTCAACCCCTCTTCCAGTTCATTATCAGTTGCCCCAGTGCAGCTCTTCGCACAGCTAATTAACAACATGCAAAGGTAGAGTTAATTAGTTGGCTCAGGCCCAGCATGCTGTGAATGCAATACGAGGCTGATCCAGGACCAACATTTTTCAAATCTGGGACTTAAGGTGGGAGTATGTGAACAGGAACCTGAACATATTGAGGTAGAGGAGGATCCTGCTGTGCCTGTGATTTTTTCCAGCAGCTCAGCCACAAATAGCACAGGGCTGAACACTGAGCTCTATCCTCAGCTGTTGTGTGTGTCTTCCAAAGAAATGGGATTTAATTTTATCAAGTCAGAACTGTCTCTGACTGACTATTCCTTTAGGAAATTCTGATATCATCTGTAGCAACTGCAAAGCTGCAGGTTCTTCCCATAGTAGGCTCCATACAACTGCTGGGAAAGAGAACAGGGGGAGCTACTGAAATGAAGAAAACTCAGTCATAAACAGTAAGTGCCTACACAGGGAACACAGCTTCAATAATGGGCTCTTCACCCAAGCAAAGGCAGAACAAGAGCCAATGTCTGGAAGCGGAAGCCAGATGAATACGGACTGCAAATGAGGAACAATTTACAACAGAGAGGACAATTAGCCATAATTAAGAACAACTTCCCACTGTTGTGGCGGATTCTTTGCCAGTGTGAGCTGAATATTGAATCTCTCTCTAAAAGACCGGCTCTAGTTTAAATAGGGATTAATTCAGGGTGGTTGTGAGGCCTGGGCCATGAAGGAGGTCAAACTAGATAAACACAGTGGTCCCTTCTGCCCTTATAACCGATTGATTAAAACCCCTGCTTAGTTCTGGAGTCTCAAATGCTTTGTTTCTTTTCTTGGAACCACGACTCGTATTGTCAGTACAAAAGCTTCACCCTCTGCCAGGCTCTGCCCTCTCACCTGAACTCAGGCCAGAACAGTGCAACCCAATGTATTCGTCTTGAGCCCAGCTCAGTTCAGCGACCCCCCTACCCTGTGCAGGTCCATTCCCCCTTGCCGTTCCTGTGACATAGGGACCTGCTCTATAGATCCACCCCTCATGCTCCATGCCCCATTTTCCACTATCAGCCTCCACGTGTCTCTCTCTGCCCCCTGATTTTGCATCCTGATTGGTGTGTTGTCCCTTTACACCCCGCTTGGCCAAGCCAGGTTCATTTACCTTCTGTCCCCCAGGTATACGATCCAGCCTTACTAGCGTCCCTTGCTTCATGAGACCAGGCCTGAAGATACATCACCATCCCTCAGTCCCTGATCTCCGTGCCCTCCTGTCCCTGCCGTGAGTTCAAGCATTTTTCCGTGCGAGTCTCTTGCATCATCCACTGGCCACAGACATGTCTCTCCCTCCAACATGATCCCAGCCATCCCATCTCTCCCCGAGCTTGGGCCACATTAGAACTCAGTGTCCTGCTGCCCTGGGGCATGGCACCCTTTAGTTCTGGCTTCAGATGCTCACTGTTCCCAGATCCTGAGGATTTATCACCCAACACCATTAACAAGAACACAGTGCTTGGTGTGTTCAGACAGTCCTTCCCTGCCTGGTACCCGAGGTCCACTCCCTGGCTGACCTTGTCAGACCTCTCAGATGCACGCATCCGAGCCCTGTGATTCAAAGGCTCTTTTTGTTATAAAATGTTTGCTTTCAACAAAGTAGTGCAACAATACCCAGCTCTCACACAGCATTTTTTGTAAAGTTTTTATCCCCATTTTACGGATGAGTAAACAGAGGAGCAGAGGTGAAGCAACTTGATCCAGATCACAGTGTTCTTATTCCATCACAGCCTGGGTAGAGGTTAATCCTGCCCAGATGTGATGTATAGTCTGAAGTTCTTGCTGCCCTTGGGTTTCTTGAACTGCTGTGACACAGGGCGCTCTGTGTCCCCACCTCAATGACCTTACACTACATTTGTAGGCCAGAGCCCCCTGATCAGCTGCTTTGCTTCTGGGCCAAGATGGCTTTGGGAATCTGCCAGCTATCTAAGGAGTTCAGCATGCTACGCTGCCACCTTCAGTTACAAGTTTGACTTCCGCTGTCAGAGTCCAGCCAGTAGGGTGGTAAATATTCCCCTAGCACTGAGCTCAGGCCAGCAGAATGATTTGACTACCCACATGTACCCCCGACCCAAACAAAATGCTTCCCTTAGTAAGGAATGGCTGCACCTTACCGCTGCCCACCACCAGGCATCAGGGATGCTGGTGAAGTTGGTGCCTGGGACATCATGTTCCACCGAGTGCATCAAAGCAGAGAATGTGAAAACACCCATGGCAATGAAGAGGAGGAGGCAGCACACCTGTTGATAGCATTGGCGGATGGTGAAACCAAAGGCCCGGAGGCCGGTGGAATGGCGAGCCAGTTTGAGGATGCGGAAGATCCTCAGGAGTTTGATGAGTTTGAGGACTTTCCCCAGCTTGCTCACACTCTTCATTCTGTGTAGTTCCTCGTGGTAGAGAATATCCCCTTCAGTTAAATATTCAAAGAGAATCTGGATGTAGAAGGGCAGGATGGCTAGCATGTCGACAGCATTAAATGCAGCTCGCAAGAACTTCTGAAAGCTGGATGTTGATATGAGCCTCATGAGATACTCAGAAGTGAAGAAGATGGCACAGATGGCCTCCAGCTGCTCCATACATGCCTTTCCGGTTTTGTGTTGCATCTCCTCCACTGTGCTGAGTGTCATGCTCACAATGGAGATCAGCACAAAGAAGCTGGACATGATGGCAATGATCTTGGCAGGGATGGAAGAATAAGGGTTCTCAATGAGGTTCCAAACAGCTTTCCGAAACCCTCCCAGACACTTGCCCTCAAATTCTTCCTCCCGGTCTGCAGGCTCAAGCTCTGCCTCCAGCTCCCTCTGTACTTTCAGATAGTCTTTGAGCTCAGACTGTTTCTCCTCAAATAGGATCCGGCAGCACCGCTGGGAGTATTGCAGATGAATGCCCCAGTATTCAATTTCTTCCACAAAGTTTGCAGGGCACAGCTCATCCATTATCCAAAGGACCCCACTCTGGTAAAAATGGAAGATGTAATAGAAAACGAAGGGGTCACGATCAAAGTAGTATTCATTCCTCTGCACTGAGTAGTCATCACAGAGCTGCAGTTTTTTCATGGGGTCTGTGTAAACTGCCAGCTTCCCAATTCTGGTGATGGGGTAACGAGCAGCCACTTTGCAAGCAATCCGAAAAGACGTGCCCCCAACATTGATGTTGAGGAAGTATCGATTCTGTTGCGGAGGAGCGTTGCTCTTCTCCTGGTTCCCATCAGTCACATTTTGCATGGAGCTCCACTGCTTAATCAGGCTGCCTTGTGCAAAAGGGAAAACAGTTACCTCTTTCTCTGGAGTTGGACAGCAATCTTGGTGGCCCCCGATCTTCAGGTTGGCATAGAGACTTGCACGCCTCATCCCCAGCTGCCTTACGGCACCTGACATTTCACACCAGAGACCCACAAAATTATGGCCTCTGGCTTGATGGCTCTGGCTTCATGTTTCCCTTACTTATGTTGACTAAGAAAAGCTGCCTAAGCTTGTGAAGAGGCTATTGAGAGTGCTCCACCCCCAATGCCAAAGGCCACAGGCTATGCTGGAGCTCTGTGTACTGCTAGGCTCACCAAGCTGATAGCTTATGAGATTTACCAACTGGAATTAAGCTGTGGGGGTCAGAGGTAGCTAAGTTCTAGCTCCTTAAAACATTAGGAAGATTGAAGTGTTAGCCCTTTTACGTAAGGAGCTATATCCGGGTATACATTTCTTTCATTCCTCGTTTTATCCTCTTCATTCTAGTTGGTTGCTTCTTGCTCATTTCCAGATACGGGTACAAGTATTTATCATTTCTGTACCTGAATCAGGAAAAAAAAGCACATCATGGGAATTCATTTTCATTCAATCCCTGCTAATGTCTTAATTGCTAAGGAGGTAACAAAAACAAATGTCAGCTCTAACACAGTTATCTCCAGCTCAGGCGCTGCTTTAAGCTTTGTTCATTCATTACCTATTTGTGCATTAAAACTCTTGTCTGTTCCACCATTACTTTTCTGCAGCATTGAAACAAGAAAAACTTTCACAGACAGAACAAAGATGAAAATCTGTTGGCTCCTAGCCCAGTCTATGCAAGCCAAAACTTCTCTCAACTCATACAGCCTAGTAAGAAAGTACTGAGGGCTTGTCATTCCCCTCATGTTGTTCAACAGCCTACAGGAAGGCAGGATGATCAGCAGCAGCTGACTCTTTGCCCCATTTTGTAGATCAGTGGTTGTCAACCAGGGATGTGTGTACCCCTAGGGGTATTTAAAGGGTCATAAAGGGTATGTGGAACTGCATGTGTGCACACAGCTGCAGTGCAGCACGTGGGAGGCCAGGAGTGCAGCTGGGCCACATGGAGAACAGCTGGGTCCAGCTCTTAAGCTGTCGGAGGAGAAACTGGGACTGGGGCTGCCCAGCTAGGCAGGGTGTGGGACTGAGCCATGGGCAGGGGTGCAGCTCCACCGCTGCGCACACCCCGGGAGGACACAGGGGGTGTGTGCCACCACATCTGCGCGCAGAGTGGGCTGGGGCCAGGGCCACATTGGGCTCTTCCCAGCAGGGGGTGCTGGCCCGGGCTGCACTCGGGGAGGGCAACAGCAGTGCTGGGAGTAGGGGTGGAGCTACGGCAGATTCTGGGGAGGCTGCGGCTCTGTCCCACGCTCTGCCGCAGCTGGGCAGTGCCTGCCCCTGCCCTACTCCTTCCTTCAGCGTGGGGTCTTGATCTGCTCTCCCCCCGCCTTAAATACAAGAAAAAAAATATAAAGGGGTATATGAGCTGAAAAACTTTAAGACAGAAGGTGTACTTTTGTTAAAAAAGTTGAAAACCCATTGTAGATGATTTTGCAGTGAATTAGTTAATATATGTCACCTGCTTTGAGAATCTCCAGTGGAAGAGGCTAGAGAAAAAACAAAGCCCTGCTTCTGATCTCACATGTTCTGTAGCCCCTTTCTAAAACTGTCTACATATTCCTTTTTGCATAGAGCCTACGGGGTAATTTTACTATTGAGCACTGAGGAACCCTGAATTGACTGCTGAGGCCCCAATACAGGATTAGCAGATGCATCTATTAAGTGATAGGTGAATTGCTTGGCACACAGGCTCACCCAAGACCTACTCCAAAGTTTAGGGGAATCCAGTGCCACCCTGATATGGTAAGAACTTCCTGGTGCCAGCAGCAGCAGCACCATGCCTCCTATGATGCTCTGTGCAAGCTGCTTCCTACAGTGCAACTTTATCCAAGTTACAATTCATGTGGACTAATCAATACTGCTGAGTGATGGTACGAGCATTTCCCTAGTCATACAGACACAAATGACAGTTCTCAGTTCTGGAGGTAGCCTGGCCAAATGAGTACAGTGTACTTGAGGGACACTGCCAGACAGCAACCTTACTACGTGGACAGAACTTCACAAGCTTAAGGAGACAGAACATATAAAAGGTAGAACTTGACCCTACACATCTTAACTTATGCTTTATTTTTTTTAGAAAGCAGAAAAGCCAATTGTTTTCCTACATCCAGGTAAACAATGACATCATTCTCCTGTTAACCATCTAAGATCCTGTACAATCCAAAATCAAAAGGCTACGCATTGCACCTTGGGCCGAGCCATCCTGTTGTGATTAGTGTTGAATGCTCATGCTTGTGTTCCAAATCAGGAAGGGCAGGAGCCACGTCTTCTTGGATTCAATACACTGCTGAGCACAGTGGCTACATCGTCACAAAATACATGACCTGAGAAATAAAAATCCAAACAGCCGCTAACAGTTCTTTAAAAGAGTTTTATTCCCCATAAACTGTAACATTTTCATGTATCTGTCAGTCATCCAGAAGCAGAGTGCTGCACCCTCACAGATTCAGCCTCTCATTCTGTGCTATCCCAAAGCTGGGAAGAAGTGGAATTTTAAATAATCCATAACTCTTACAAACTCTCCCCCCTGTGCTCCAAATGCACAGGTGCTTGCTGTACAAAACCCCAAGGAGTCCTGCTCTCTGAGACTGCTGGAAGGAGCGTTTGCCCTCTAAGTAGAATTCTCAACTTATATTCAGCGAACATGGAAACAGAGGTAACTACTGGCTTAAATGGAGGAAAAGAGTGCACACCCCTTCCCCTCTGCTAGTAGTTCCCTCTACAGTAGCAATACCTTACACACACACACACACACACACACACACACACA